TAGTACTCTGATTTGGGCTCGTGTTCCCACTATCCATTATATTATAATCAATATATAATTATAATATAACAATTAATAGCATAAATGTAAATATTATTTCATAATTTGAAGGTTTTAAAGATATGTCATAATTTGATTGTTTAATAAATTATTTTAATTGATTTATTATATAATTCTAAGTAGTTTAATTAATATATATTAAAAATAATTGTAATACATAGAAGAATAAAATATAATAATAGTCGTTTAATTATCTTAAATTAATTTAATTTTGAATCCTATTCTGATTCAGGAATATATTCTTTCTATTAACGTTTTTCAATTAATTCTAGATTTTATAGAGTGTATTGGTGCCATATCTAAAAGACATTGTTAGAAGGCTTTATTAAAGTGTTCCTCAAATTTATCTATATAAAAAACATCAATAATATTTACTAATTAATTTTTAAATTTTACTTTCACATGGCTTGAATCCTCTTAATTATTTCTTTAAATGATTTTAGAAACATTTTTTATCATCTATTTTTTATTTTGATAAAGACTTAGATTTGTTTTTTAAATGAAGTTGTTTTACTTGGCTTACAAAAGGAAGAAATATTTGTGGCTCTAATCTAAAATTAAATTAGAATATTTTATAAATTAAAAATTTAAAAACAAAATACTTTACATTCATGCAAAGTATTTGAGGGCAGCTCTTGAAATCTACATCAGATCTTAAAAAATCATAAAGAAGTGTCATCTTTTTTAATTTAAGAGTAAATACTTATTAGTTAGAATAAAATTCTAGTTTCAGTCTTAAAAAAATTATATTAAAAATATAATACGTACATTGTAATTAACGAATGCATTAAACATATTCTAATCAGACATGTAATTCTAGCAGATATATATCTATATTTTATAAAATTTTAGAGTTAAAAATAATTTATTTATTTTGCGTTATATCAAAGTTAACTTTATTAATCTTTACTTTTTTCTTTTTAGGATAGAAGGAGGCAACAGAAGTATTTGAAGAAGGACAAAACTAAAATTAGATTACATCTTCAGGTTTAAATATGTAATTCATAGACAAAAAACCCTCTTTGAACTTTTTCCATTCGACTTTTATAAAATAATAAGTTAATTTTAATCGCTGAATTTATCATTTTTGCAGTTATAATTTTAATTTTTACCTGTCTTTGCATACAACTCGAGAAATTCTTTAACTTAACTGTTCTATTCAGTATTAGCCTTAGAAATTTCTATTCATAATTAGTTTTTTTTATTTTACTGTTGTTGCTGTAATGCAATGTGAATATTAACAATAATTACGCACCTATGAGTCTTTCAGGGTTAACTAAAAACTAAGAGTTTTCTTAAACTTTTTAATATTTTGGTTCTTGAGCCATTTCTATATTTGATATGGGTGTAGTATCTAAATTTTTAACTTTTCTTAAAAAACTATAAATATTGATAAAAATAATATCTTTCTTTCTACTATTTTAGATTTGACTTAATAATATGTTTAATTAATTACCAATAAATTAATTAAAGATATTTTTTATAATTTAAAACTAATTTATTTATTTTTTTATATAACTATGATAAAAGCAATATATAAGCACACTAGTGAAATCACAAAAAATAAACATGTTACAATATGTATTTATTAATTTACAATTTTTTGAGCTTCTTTTTAAATTAATATAGAAGATAAACTAAAATTCTCTTAGCCACTATCAGATAGCTTAATTTATAGATAGGTGCTAAAGGATAGACATCGAAGTATTTTCAACTTAAATAACTTACTATAATTTTATTTATAACCAATTAATTTTCATATTTATAAAGAATTAAAATAAATTTACCTCAGAAAAAAGATTTACAATTTGAGAAAATGTAAAGGTTTGTGTTGTGAAAGGATCCAACATCTTTAAATATTTTTCAATGTCTGACTAAGGTATTGGTAAATTTAAATGATTCATCAATATTATAAATTCTTCCTAATTTTAAAAAATTTTATTTAAATTATATCTTGTTAGATTGAATATTTTCTTACTTCATTTATAACACCGTCAGAATCTGTATCAATTTATTTAAATTATTAAATGAATGGCTTTAAGAATTTTTCATGGCTTTTTAACTAGAAATCAAGAATAACGTTTTCGAAACTGCTGTATAAAATTTTTTTTCTTTCCATATTCTCTTTTGAAATCTCCTCTCTTTTTTGACCTTTTCTTTTTTTATTTATTTATTTATGAAATGTTACTTTAAATATTTAATTATTTAAAGATTTACTTCTTTGGAGGACTTTGAACATTAAAATACATTAAATCTTTAACTTTTTCAATTAAGTGTTTACTGTCTTCTTTGTTATACATGTAATTTATTATATCTGTTATTTCTTCAATAGTTACAAACCCTGCTGATTTAGAATCCACCATACTTTTTAACTCAGCTGTGTTTTTAAGGGGATATTTTCCTTTAAGATGCATCTATTATTAATATTTTCAGTAAAATTGCTTAATTTAATATAAAATTTACATTAAGCAATTCTTTTATAGTTCTTTTCAGCTGTCCTTGTACAAATCTGAAGTTTTCATCGCATTCATTTCTTAAAATCTTTGTAAAAACAGCTATGTCATTATCTTCATGAGAATATTTTTTTATAGAATATATTATTGTAGAAGCCTACTCTATAACTATGGACTAATTAATTAATTAATATTCTATTTAATCAGTTTTTATCTATAAAAAAGCATTACTTTTAATCCATACTTTTAAGTGAGGTATTCATACATGTGCATCTCCATAGTTTGAGGAGGTAGTTTCAAATTTTTTTATTCTTTGGTATCAAACCATTCTTTTGATGCATATATTTCAAGAATTACCTCTTTTAACTAATTTAAAGTTAAATTCTTAGCATTTCCTATGGATATATTAATTGATGGATTTGTGTTTCCAAGGTTATTAGATTAGTTCAATTTATAGGAGGTAGAATCCCTAAGAGGATTTTCTCCTTTAGATAATCTAATTATTTTATTCAAATATTTTTTATTCTCTTCCTCTAAAAGTTCAATTCTATTCTGAAGCTCTTTATAATTCTATAAAATAATCATAATTAACTTACTTTTATTTGTTGAAAACTTACCACTGCTGAATTGTCCCCTATGTCTAATACATTAACAGGAGATTATGTCTTTAAAATTTATATTTATTTAGATTGCTCTTAAATGATTTCTTTTCGTTAGAATATAAGAAAAAACTATTTATTATAGCATTTATAAATTTATTTACATGACATTTGTTTAAAAATAATAGCGTGTGCATCATGGATAGAAGCTATAGAATAGTATAATCTTTCATCTACTTTATCTGTATACTCAATTGTCTTTTTAAAACAAACTTCATAAAGATTGTATGCTTGCTTTATTTAAATCAATCCCTTTTAGTATTAATCATCATCCTCTTATTAAGATAGTTTTTCCTTTAAGTTTTAAATAATTTTAGACACGCTTTAGTTGAACATGCTTTTAGTTTCAATCTCACTTTCTCTATTATTATCTTTATAAAGGCCTTGAAGATCTTAAAATATTTCCTAATTACAAAATTTAATAATATATACTGAATGAATTTGAAGCTGTTTTTAAAAATAATTAAATTACTGTTGCCTCATCTACATTCTTTTTCTAAAAGTATTAATAATCATCGAAGTCTGTGATTTAGTCCTTTTTTTAAATTTTCTGTTTTAAGTAAATAAATTTCATTTTTTAATTTTACAGATTCCTCATGTTCGTGATTATCATTTTACTAGTTCTGGTGGTGCTAAACCTCTAAAAATTTTATTAACAAGCAACTTAATTTTTCTTATCTAAATATATATATTCCTTACCCCTTTGGTTAATAAAAAGCAGTTATGGCAGTGATTCAATCAAAAACATTTCCTCTTCTAGACTAGAAAGAGATACATTTAAAGATTATAACTCTCTGAGATTTATCAAAACCTCCACTAAATTATCCAACTAATAAATAAAAATACTTATAACTAATACTTAACGGTATTGATATCAATATTTCAAATAAATCAGCTTATAATCAATTAAAAATTACGCTTTCTATTGGATTTCCAGAAATATCTAACACTTGCAAACTTTGAATTTCTTATAATTTGATAGGTATAACTCTAATATTGTTGTTCTTAAAGGAAAGTCGTTTTAAATCTTTAAAATTAGCCAAAAGTTCAATCAATCCATCTATTTTGTGAATACCCCTTTTGGTGATTGATTGTTAAAATAATTTATAAAAATGTATTCATATAATTATTAAAAGCAAAGCTAATAAAATAATTTAAGTTACTTATTTTCTATTTCAATATTTTATGTATTTGGCTTTAAGTTTATTAGATATCTTTTGATGTCCATTTATAGTATTAAAATTGCTTAATAATATGTTTATTTTTTTGTTATATTAATTATCTAATAATGCTACAAAGATTTTCTTTTTTTGGTAAATGTAAAAACCTTAATAATTAATCAATATATTTTTAATTTGATTATTAACAGATAAATTTTGATTTTTATGAATTAATTTAATAATGATTCGTTTACTTTCAATCAACAATTAACTGAGCTACAGACTCCAAAGCTTACTTATTATAATATTACTAGTATCATACATGATTTATCCCATAAGAATTAAAAGCAGTATTTTTATTTTTAAAATTAATTTATAAGAAGTGTTGTTTGAAAAATAAAATAAAAAAATTATTTATACTTATCTATAAAATGATTCCAATCATGCTCTTTAACATTTAAATTGTAAAATATTAATATAATGCTTCATAAAAAACATTTTATTTAATTTTTAAAAATTATTTTTAAATTTAATATTTTTTAGAAAGCAAATTTTATGTTTAAATTAATTAATTTTTAATTGAGAAAGTTTAAAAAAAAAAATTATTTTTAAGAATTTTTTACAATTTTTTTTTATTTGATAAAAATGAATGATTTAATAAATATTTAAGGAATGAGATAAAAATATTTAATTAAATAGCATTAAAAAAATTAATTTTAACAGAATTAACTTAAATTACTATAGGTTAATGTTTAAAACTAGTAAGCTGTAATTTTAAGTGGTATTTAGTTATTTCTTTTTTTTTAAATTTTAAGTAATAATTTTTTATAATTAGTATTCATGTTACTTTAATATTAATAATATCCATTAATATCTAATTTTTTTTAAGTTATTGTTGTTTTATATTCTTAATTAAAGATTTTTTGTAATTAAATTGAAAGAAAAACTATATTTCAACTAATCATTTAAATCATGGTTAACAATCAGAATGTCATATAAGTTTAACCCAATAAGATCAAAAGCAAGAATTCTAAATTGAAATCATTAATAATAATTCCTAATCTAGAGACACATATACAATAATAAATATGGGTAATCAAAAAATACAAAGTTAGTTTAATGATCCTAGGGTTAGTCTTGACTTTAATTTCTACAAGCTACTTTTAAGAAAGTATAGCTCAGTATGATTAGCTTTGTATAGGTTTCTGCCCTGTGGTTAAAGTAAGCATGCAAATTATATTTTAATAGATGTTCTCTTTCATGGCTGATATAATATCTATAAATAAATCTTTTTTACTAAGTATAGGCCAATATATCTTTTGTATAATCCTAAATATGAAATTATAAAACGATGGCAATGATTAGTAAATGAAAATTTTTTTAATTATTTTTAGTAACATATCTTATTATCAGATTGGTTTATTATGTAGATATTTGATTCTTGATACTCAATATGATTTAAGAGTTAGATTTGACATTATGGTATTTCTTTAAATTTTAAATTCCATTTATAGACTATATCCAAATATAATTTACTATTTACAATACAAGTAAATATTTAGTAATATTTATGTTTAAATTGGTTATATGTTGATTTTACTAGCAGGAACATTAATAGTAATAATTATCTATGGTAAAATAGAAAGATTGAGATAGAAATCTAATAGATATAGAAAATACCTCGCACACTAGGGAATAGGAATTTCTTTCAAAGTTATTTTTAATTATTATAATAACCAAAACTTTATCTTTATACTTTTTATCTTGTTTGCATTTCATGCTTCTTATGACTAATAATTCAGCACTACTACTTCTTACTTAGATTTTGGATATTTCAAAATATAACAGGATTAATATAAAATTGTAAATGGTATTCTTTATGTTATTTCCACATTACTGGGATCCATTGTTTCATTATTTTTAAATCGGAAAAAATGGATTATAGAATCTTCTATGAAAGCTACTTTGCACTTAATAAATTTTTAAATTATCTTTAAATTTATAAAATTCTTGCTGTTTCTAGTATAGATCTACGGATAATAATACTAAATATTATAGGCTCTACAAATATTCCTTTAAGTATTTTCAAATGCAAATATGATAATAATTTTTTTCTAATATTTTGAAGCAGGTTCAAGTTTAATTGATGAGTAATCATCAATTAAATCCTAAGGATTCTCTCTAATGTGTAACTTTGAGTTTTTAGGTATATGTTTTTCAAGCAGTTCTTTACCTCCTTTAACAAAACTAATAATCTAATTAATAATTCTAATTATGGCAAATACCTACACTACTAAATATTTAAAAAATAGATCCTTTGTATAATTAGAAAGAAATTTAAAAAATTACTTGGAAAAATAAAATTATGAATATGAAATATCTAAGTGAATTTAGATCAACTATTTGATTTAAATCATTTTATTAAATTCATATAGATGCGCTTTATATTAGATAGTCTTTTAGGCATTTAAAATTTCTAAATATTCATAATTAATTAAAATTACTAATATAAATATATCAGTTCATTTACTTATTTGATATTTAATTATTTCGATTGCAAAGCTTCATTTACATTTTTAAAATGATAAATTAAACTCTTGAACCAAAAATAATTAACTATAAAATTAATTATTTTTTCTCAAAATAAATTATAAAATTAATATTTTCTTCTGAAAATTAATTATTTAACTATACTTGAATAAAAAGACTTAAAATAAATATTCTAAAATTTACTTTATTACAAAGAAAGAAGTAAAAAATATATACTTACATGTATCCATAAATTATTAACTTACTTTTTTCAAAAAAAAGAATTTCTCATCAATATTGATTTTTATTTTTTAAATATGCAGTCAATTATTTATGGTGGGCTTAATAGAAAAAAGAGATTAATAAGTTTATAAAATAATAATTTGTTAAAGTTACTCACTTTGGAAGTTTTAAAGAAAGAGTATTAAAAGTTAATAAAACATAAACATTATTATTAGCAATTAATAAATTGACTAAAATTATTACTTCTAATTTTTTTGCTTGATTTTTTTTATTATTTTTGACCAATTTCTGATATAAAATCTATTACAATGTAATTAATAGAATATTTATTTTTTGTATTTATTTTTCATAATTTTAAAGAGAAATAGATGGAATATTCTAAAATTGGTTAAACTAAAATTATATGTAATGCTTTTTAAGATACATATAGATTTTAACTTTAAATGTCAATAAGATTAAACAAAGTATATATTTTTTTTATTATTTTACATTGACTCACTCTAAGCTTTAAAGATAATTTTCATATTTTATCATTAACCTTTATATCAAATTAATATGATCATAATTTTTTTATATTTCTAACTAATTTAATTTATTTTTTATTCGCTCATTTTCTTTTTGTTTAGCTTTAACCTTTTTTTGATGGATCGTAGTTATTTTATTAGGTTTTAGATTAATTACTAGAGTTTTAATCAATATACTTTCTGTTTTCATATTCCTCTGGAAAAGCTGCCTCATCTAACTTTTACCATGCTTTTAACTTTAAATTATGAAACGACAAAGCTGCCTTTTAAAAAATTTTATTGTTTTCTAAGAATTTAGTGACCTCAGGAATCTCTGGAGTTTCCTTTATTTCCTTGTATAATCCAAAATAAAAGCGGAATCTATTAAACATGACTGATAGATTTTTAGCTTATTATCTAAAATTTTTTAAGAAATTTTGTTATTAATTTTAAATTATATAAGTAATCAAAAATGAAATGAGTGGATGAATAGATGAATGAATGAAAAACTTTTTTATCTAAATAACAAAATAAATATAAACTAGATTTTTTTATTTAGCTTTAAAATTTTAATTTTTTGAGGCAGTTAAATTTGTAAAATTTTAAAATATCAGATTCAAACATTAAAGTTAAATAAATTCATTATTTATTTCCAACTAGTTTGAAGAAGTAAATAATGCAGAAAAAAAACAAATAATATTAAAATAGAAAAAAAATAATTTTTAAAATATAAACTAAATTTAACACTCTACTATATTAAAATTTTAAGTCTATTTTAAAATTAAAAAAAATTAATATAATTTAAAAAAGACAAACATATATTTAAATATTTTTGATAAGAAAATCTGCTTGCCTAATACCTTATCAGTAACTAACTGATCTGAAAAATATAAAGCAATTATATTTATTTTTTTTACTATTAGAATAAGTAAATGAAGTTGTATATTGGTAAAATATGATTTTTATTGATAGAAGAAGTAACATTTCATTTTTTTGATGAAAAAATCGAAAATTTGAGTGAAATTAACTTTAAAGTTGCTTAAATTTAATTAAAAGCTAAATATGGAAATTTAAATTTAATTTAGGAAGAGATTCGTGTAAATTAAGTATAATGATATATTTATATTTTGATAAAATTATTATTTAGAATAAAAAAAGAAAATATTCGTTGTAATCTATGTGCAATTTTATTAATTTGAAAAATATATTCTTTTACAACAACTCCAAATTGATGATTTAATTTACTGCACAAATGATGCAAATAGGAAAGCATTCCTCAGATTTATTTAATATGGAAAATAATTATTTCACAAATAACTTAATTATTGATTGATTATTAGAACTCCAATTATTTTTTTCTTTTATAATTCTTTTATATTTGGAGATAGCTTATGCTTGAAAAAAAATACAAAGAAATTAATTAGATCACCGTCAATCAAATTTTTTGGGTATACTCTTATGAAAAAGAATCTTTATCAAAGTCTCTAGCCTATAAATGATATTTAATTATTTGCAATTTAAAGATAATTAAATAGTAAAAATATAAATCAAAAAGATCTTGCATACTTATTAATTTCTAATAGTAATGAAATTAAATAGATATTTTTAAGTTTTAGCACTTTTATGCGCAGCTTCATTTGTCTGCTGCAATAATTTAGGAGCTAATTCCTAATTATTAGCTTGCTAAAACTCAATACAACAAATACTTACTGATACAAAAAGTTTTTTAAGCTAGGTTTGTACTGGCAGCACTTCTGCAGGTTTTAATAATTTAGGTGATAGGGATAGATGCTTAAATGCAACAGGCACTAACTTTATTTCTGTTTATCTAAATAATAACTTCTAAAATGTTTATCCTGCTCCATATGTATTATGTCTACCTGATGATTGTACATCCACAATTATAAATGAAAACAAATCATAGTTTAATCTTTTGTTAAATACGTTGATTTCGAAAGCCACTAAGTAATAAACCAATTTTTAAGTTACCAATGCTTATGATGCTTAAAATGATACTCCAAGTGTTGACGCCGGTGTAGTTATTGTTAGCATTATTATAGCCTTTATCTGCATTGCTTCTATATTAGGTTCAATCATAGTTTACAGATATGAAAGCTCAAAAGTATCATATTTTTAGAATTATTAAATTTAGAAAAATTTTTGGTTAAGCTTCAAAAAAATCTAACTAATTTGCTTACCATTATTCGAAAATTGAAAAAAAAAAATCTTAATTTTAATGAGACTAGACTACAGAAATTAATTTAATTTTTTGAGCTTATAAAATCAGATATCCTAATTAATTAGATCTATCTATTTTGATTAAGCAAATATTTAAAAATTATTAATAATAATATTATCTAACCTTTGTTTATTAACTTTATATTATTAAATTAAAAGGAAAAAGCCATTAAGATGAGGCTTTAATAGTAGCTAAATGAAGAAGTTCCTTCAGCTGCTTTGAGTAATGATATAAACGAAGATTACCCTCTTCCTCAAGAAAGTCGCTTAGTCAAAATCGGCAGAGCTTTTGGTATCGTTGAGAATTTCAACAAGCTCTTTACTTTCAAGAACTAAGGTCATATTGATTTTGCCATTATAAATGGAACAAGAGTATTCTGCATTGTCTGGATTATAATTGGACAATCTTACTTGATAAGATTTGGATCTGTTAAGAATATTTATGATAAGGGTGATATTTAATCTTCTGCTGGTTATTCAACTATTGCTGCTACTTCTTAATTAGCTGTAGATATGTTTTTCTACATCAGTGGTTTTTTACTTGCTGCCATATTTTTAGAAAGATTCGCCAATAGAACTGAATTGAAGGTAATAATATCTAAAATCATACTTTATATTCTAAAACATTGTTTGCAAAATATTTATTTATATATTATCATTTTTATAAAAAGCCAACTACCTTATTGCTTTTCATTGCTCATCGTTTTATTAGATTATGGCCTACTTACTTTATTGTACTCCTCTTCTACTGGTAAATTTGGTAATATACCGGAAATGGTCCTATGTTCAACTAAGAAATAGATAACATAAATAACTGTGACTCAAGAATCTGGGCAAATTTATTGATGATTGATAACTTAGCAAATAACGGAGACACTTAAGGCTGCTTCTAATGGGGTTTTGTTATCTCAAATGAAATTTAATTCTTTATTGTTGGTTTAATTCTTTTATACATTTACAGTATGAATTCTAAAATTGGTATTGGCATGATTCTTTCTTTCTTTATTGGTTCTTAGGTTGCCGCTACTGTCATTGCATCTAATAATGACTATAAAGCTGACTATTTTACTTTAACCAACCCTGATACTTTTTATAATGATTTCCACATAAAACCTTGGGTAAGAATGGGTCCTTACTTCCTTGGTGTTTTGGCTGGTATTTACTATCGTTCTTACAAAACTGGTAACATTTTAAGCTTTCTTTTATTTTCAATTATCATTAAATTTTATTCTAATTAATTAATAGGAACATCCTCTGTTGTTTAATTTGCAGACAAAGTCTTAAATAACAGTATATTAAGATACGTCCTTTATTTTGTAGGGTTAAGCTTAATAAGTTCTATGGTTTGGTGCATTATTCCTGTTTAAAAAGATATTGAAAACTGGTCTCAAGCAGGTCATTCTATTTATTTAGCTTTCGGAAGAATAGGATTCATTTTAGGTTACTTCTTAATGACCATCCCCTTAATGTTTGGAAAGAGAAATTACTTAAGAGCACTCTTAGGAGCAAGAATATGGGTCCCACTTTCAAGAGTCACTTTCTGCATGTATTTGGTACACTAATTTGTTATTGAGAGAAGTTTATTGAACTAAAAAAGTATTAGATACTTTGATAACTAATTAGCTTTATACGCTGCTATATCTGATATTGTATTTGTACTTCTTTTCGCTGCTGCTTTTTGTGTTTGCGTAGAGCTTCCTATCATCAACTTGGAAAAATTATTCTTAATTACCCCTTCTAAGCTTAAAGGAATTTAGGGAGAAGAGAATGATGACTTTGAAGCCATAGAAATTAAAAAATAAATGATGGCTTAATGATTAAATTAAAAAAAGCACATAAACTAGCACTCTAGCTGTTATTAACAATTATTTTTAATAAAAACTTGAATAGTAAAATTAACAAAATATTCATTTGTATAACAAAATACATTTTATTGTAAAAGATCATTCGTTCATTTTACTTTTACTTATCATTTAATTAAGACATATTTTTCTTTTATTTCAACAAAATAAAAACATTTGAACTGAACGGATTTTTTCATAATAATTATTTCAACATTTTTAAAATATAAATTAACCAATTCGATAAATTAATTTGAGTAAGCAATAATTTAAAGAAATCAATTAAATTATTAAATTGTAAAACCGAAATTGATGAAAATGAAGTAAAAATGTATAAAAATTATATATGCAAAGATAAAGAATTTATTAGATTTTATACTTTACAAAACATTTATAAAGAAAATAGAAAGATAAATATTGGCAATACAAAAGAAAATAAATTGGAGAATAAAAAAATTTTTTTAATAAATTTATTTTTTTTGTTATTTATGTTAAATACTAAATTATTTATAAAATTTAGTTAACAAATATGAATTATTTTAAGTTATAGTCCTAAATTATTATTGAAAAATCGATGTTTTAGATATCTTAATATAATAATTTTATTTATTTATTTTTAAAAAAAAATCTAAATTAGCAAAATAATTTATATATTTTGGAGAAGTCATTTTTAGATTTTTTTCCTAAAAACATCAAAGGCTTTATCAATTTACTTACTCTTAAGCCTAGAAAGCTAGCTTATAAACGGAAACTCTCCTTTTGTAATCTCATACTTTTCAAGCCTTTTAACAACTTATTCTTACTTAACAAATTAACCTCTATCAAAAATGTCTTATACATTCTTATCAAAAATTTGAATTTGCTGCTATGATTTAAAGCTTTAATTAGGTTTATTTACTTATTAAAATCGCATTGAAGAAATGTCTTTTAAATAATTATTAAGATCGTTTCTTCTCTGTCTCTCAGAGTATTGCAATTTAATTTAAATATACTGAAATAAGTTTTAGTTAAAATACTAAAAAATTTAGTATATTTACCAAGCCTGTATTAATAAAAAGAGTTATGATATATTTATTATTAACAATCTATAATTAACTAATTAAATAAACTTACTTCATCTATTGGTACGTAATCTATGCCTTAATTAGTTTCTATTGGAATCTTTTACAAATTTGCTATATTTTTAATGTTTTTTTGATAGACTAATTTCCATGCTTCAATACTTAGACCTAAACCGAAATCAATATCTTTTTTCACATTTATTTGGTCTTCTTCTAATACTGTGTTCTTTATCTAATCATTAAACCCTAGTATTTAAACAAGAGCTTTCATTACCTTCTTCTTATTTCTTTTCATTCTATTTTAAATTTTAAATCTTTATTAAATCTATTCTAGTATAAATAAAATTTACAAAACAAGATGAGAAAAATTTTAATTTAAATTCAATAGAAGAGAGTAAATTTATTAAACTTTAAATTGTTAGGCTTAGTCAAGATTTTTGTAAAAGTTGATATCAGATTTGCTTATAGGTGATGATTCTTCTTATGTATGAGCATGCAAATTATACATTTATTATATCTATGATATCTTCTTTTCCTATCTCATAGATTCTTGCTATTAGTTATAATAACTCTTAAAGTCATAGATATGGTTCTTTTCTTGGAGTGAATTCTAAAATTCATTTAAATATTAGCAAACTTGATTGTAATAATTTTAATATTAACTTTATATTTAATTGTTTTTAATTTTAATTTAAGTTTGGGAATCCATAGTTATTTTAGGAAGGTATTAATCTAACTCGTCCTCAAGTAGTTTTGTCTAATTATTATTTTATTTTAAGTTATTTAAATGAGAACTAAATTTATTTTAGTCATGCATTTCAAGAAAAAGCTTACTTGATAAAATATATTTTTAATCAAGGTGATTCTATGTTTTATTCTTATTATCTTCATGCATTGAGTGTGATTTCTATTTAGGAATATTTTTGCTTAAAGTTATTTCATTTCTATTATTTTTACTTTAACTAAAATTATTCATATCTTATAGTGGAGAATTCTTAGATTTGTTACTTTAGCTCATTAAGTTATTTAAAGAAGGCATATTTTACTACTAATCACATATTTTAATTATATCAGAACTTTAATCATTTTACTTATGAATTAATTTAGACTTTATAAATTATTACTAGCTTTAACTTAACTCACATTTTTAATTAGCCTAAGTATTTTACTAATCCTACGTTTTTAAATTGTAGGAATGAGCTTCATAATTTTGATAACTTTGTAATGAATCTTTTAACTTTTCTTTTTGTTATAGAAGATTAATTTTTAGGGGAAGATTTTCGTTTGTTTATTAATTTATTTCCTATGATAAAATTTCATCTTAGTCTAAGTTTTACTAACAAACACTAGATTTTCTTCTAATAGAATTATCAAAAATACTAAATTACCTATTGGAGTACAAAGTAGTATTTTAGCTAACTGAGTTTGACCTAATTTAAAATGTCCCTTAGGTAGTATCATCATTTTATAAAAAAAATTTTTCATTTAGTGAGTCTAAATTACTTGCAGGTATCATAAGGGGTGATGCATATAAAGATTTAGATTTAGGAAACCCAAGCTTAATGTTTCTTTAAAAGTTAAAATCACTATTTAAATCTAATGGTTTTTAACTCTTTACTTCTGTAGATTCAACTTCATAACTTTATTAAATTTTACCCTGCTAGTTTTCATTTTAAATTTTATTTTAATTTCGCAGCTTTTTATCATCTTATTGTATTTTTGGTTGAGTAAATTTGAAAAAGTTGTTTTATTTTTCTAACTATGATTTATCAAATGGCTGCACACCCTTGTGTTTATAACAGGATTCTAAATAATCAAAATTTTTACTTTTAATGAGAAAGTTATTTATCACTTTATTGTATTTTTAATTAACACTTTTTGGTTTAAAAAACACAAGCTATTTTTTAGGAAGCTATTGAGAATTTTCATCCATATTCAAATATTATTGCTAAATTGTTTTACAACAAAACTTTTAATTTACTAATTAATTAATTTGTAGAACTTTTTGTTGTTAGATTAACTAAAAATAATTTATTAATTAAAACTTAGCAAAATTTTTGAATTAAATATCAATTACTAATATTCAGTTTAATTTTTTTAATTTGATAGTATCTTAAATAAATGTTATTTTAATCTTTAAAAGTAAATTTCTTATATTAAAATACGGGGTTGGGGTTGGGGTTGGGGTTGGGGTTGGGGTTGGGGTTGGGGTTGGGGTTGGGGTTGGGGTTGGGGTTGGGGTTGGGGTTG